TACATATTTGCAGGACGGTATAATTCCCAATGATAAAAAAGAGGCCAAGAAATTGCGGATGCAAGCAGCCAAATACAGCATCGTTCACAACGACCTGTACAAAAGAACATATGGCAGCCCCCTAGCGAAATGCTTGGGTCCATATCGATATATTTTGACATAACTAAACAGTATAGTATCCCATATCGCATACAACGGCGAGAGTGTGTGTATACCTGCAATTGGAAGCAATGGCGGCAATACCATCGGTGGAGAAACCTTGACAGCTAACCAAAACCAAAGACTTGAAATTAGGAAAGGATCGAGAAAGAAGGCGGAGGCTCTCATCGGAAACCACCATTCGTTTAAGACGAAGCTCCTCCAAATGGACATGGCTATAGGCCAAGGTCTGAATCCAAAGGTGAACAAAGCCTCCCCAACTGGGCGGTACAAAAGTGAAAACATAAGAATCAGGCTTTCCCTTGAGAGCAAGGGATGTGAGCTTCGGAAACCTAGCGATCACCCTCTCGGGATCGATGGCATAGCAATTCCCAATGAAGACCTTGCTTTTGTTGAATCTGTCGATGTTGTACCAGGATTTGCACACCATAGACACCGCATTTCGACGCCTGTGACACGTCAAGTAATGGAAGACGTGCTCCACCACTTCCTCCGGTAAGTAAAAATAGTTCGCCATAAACAATACTCGAGAAAATGACAAAAATAGTCCCTTAACTTTGGAAGTAGGTTTATGATGGTCCTTTAAATATATACCTACCAGTTTTAGTCCTTTAAGTATTCACAAACTTAACAGTTTTGATCTCCATCCACCTTTTTAACCAACACCGTTAGTTTTTCCATTTTCTTGTCAATAAGTTGTCATTAAATCAATGAAACTGCACAAAATTCCACCAAACTGCACAACATTCAACAAAAATCCTGACATAAACTGTTACCATGAGGCAGCAGCACTTCTAGTCTAGTTTTAAATATATATCATGCAGCTAACTTTGCAAAGATAAACACCACAAAGCCCAGCCATATTGAAACCCATCTAGCGCTTACAAAGCAGACCAAACAAGAATCCGGTAATTGCCTAGGTACTGCCGGCATTTCGTTATCCGGCAAGGGAGTTCGGCCAAAAATGATGTACCTTCAACTAAGAAGAGAGAAAAATTCCCTCTTTTCAGTCTCTAAAACCCTTCATGTACTAGATCAGCTGTATTGTAAAATCAGAAGGCAAAATTAGACATTCTGTTGTTGCCTAATTTTCACTAAAGATTACGAGTCTTTGCCTTGTATTCATTTCTCCAAACTGGAGGAAGATGACGCGGTCAAGAGACATGGCAAAGACTGGAGGAAGATGAAGTCTTACTGACTTCTAAATAAACTAACACCGTTAGTTTAAAAAATGCATGGAGACTAAAATTGTTAAGTTTTTGAATACTTAAAGGATTAAAACTGATAAATATATATATTTAAGGGACCAACATAAACCTACCTTTAAAGTTAAGGGACCATTTTTGTCATTTTCTCAACAATACTCTACTTGATTATTACGAGGGAGCGTTCAAACCCTAATTATAGAATTCAGATAGATGAGTTACTGATAATGGCGATCATATATTTGGAGCTCAATGAAGAGATATACTACTAAACTGAACAGAACTAACCTCCGTTGCAGGCAAATGGCAATTTTTTCGTGAAAAATAAAATCCCCATTGATTATATCAATCCTGATCAACGGTGGCTGATGCGTACTGTATTAGTGAGTCGCAAGATAAGAGAGAATCACAAAACAAACGTTCCACTTTTACTCGCCTAATTTCCGACCTTAGTTTACGGAATTGCCATTTATTGATAAGGTGACGATTTCGATCTTTTTAAAGTGCAACATATTTTTATTTATTATAACAATAACATATTTATTGTTATACGATAGTCAAATATACCAGTGTGATTTTAGAAAAAATCCAAGGCCAATTGGCCTGGTAATGTTAACTATTGAAAGATTAAAATAGCAATAAATATAATTAAGTGAGAAAAAGTGTGTATAAAAATAAATATTTTATACTTATTGGTTTGATATAATTTTGAAGTGCGGATAAATTTTATAGATTGCCCTACAGCCTTTGCAGACTACAATATTGTGTAACTCAGGTTTATAGCATTCTACAAACCATTATGTTCCATTTATTTACTTGTACTAGTATTTATTTCTATCTCTTGTTATTAACGTGGAGTATTCAATCAATAGTAGCTTACAACTAAACAAGCCATTGGGAATTGAACCACTAAGCTATGAAAGATTTTGAAACTCTTAACCATTAAATTATATTTTTCGGCTATGTTAACGAGATTCAAAATATAATATATACAAGTTGATTTTGTTATCCGAACCCTCGGCCCCTGTCACTTCTCAATACCTCCGGGTTAACTCTTCTTTTTTTCTTTTTTCAAGTGACCATATATGAAGATTCTTTTACGTTTTTGGTATCGGAACTGGCACAGTGAGTGATCAAGAACTTTTCTTATCAAAAATTAAAAAAATAGAAGAGGAACTCCCACCTTAAGGATTTGTTTGTTTATGCGCAACTCCATGCTTCAATCGTAGTACTATATAATAATGGGACTTGACTTAAGTTTGACGTGCAGTCACCTAATCTAATTTTTGACGACGACTTTACAAATAAATATATCAGCAACAAATCGTGCAGTCTTCTTAATCAGCAAAGTTATTCATCTTCTCGGGTGTTAAATTAGTACAAGTAAATAAATTGGACTCACTCACCATCAGTTCCCAATGGCTTTACAACTAAACAAGCCATAAGGGCTACAAACCATCAGTTGAGCTTTTAATTCATTTTTTCGAATTTAATTATTGGACTCTTCATCTTGCATGCAGATAATCACGCCAAAAAAAAAAAGATCCTACAGTCATCTGTCACCCAATATTCAAAATAAGAAAAGTTTCACATTTGAAGAGTATTAATCAAAAGTTATGAAGAATTTCACAATCAATGGTAGTCTGGATCCTAAGCATTGATAACTTGAAAACTTAAAAAGCATCCATAGCATTAGCTGCAGCCTCACTACCAATTTGAAAGGTTCTCAGATCTCGAATCCAACTTTCAAGCTCAATCATGTCCAACTTCTACAGTAGGACAATTGACAGCAATTAACCAGCTGCCCTGGGGTTTGGATCATCAAAGTACACAAATCTATTTATCGACTCCATTACATGAACAAATTGATGTTTAAAGCCACTATGATCAAAGGTAAAGTGCAAAACAATTTAAAGGCTGATCTGAACTGCGGTTTTTCTCTACTTCTGTTAACCAGAAGGAGAGAAGAAAGAAGCAGAGTACTACTCCACTTAATTACAGGTGTCTGTTATACAGGAAGAACAATGCAACCAAAACTGCCAAGACTAGGCATTTGTTTGCCCTTTAACCATCCACGGCTGAATACTATGGTCTGAAGAGTGACCCGTTTCACCACTCTCACAGTAGCAAGAATATCTAGCCACATTGACTGGTAAATAATACAACACCACAAGAAATGAGCAAAAGAATGAAGGTACGTGGAAGTTGGTGAATAAAGGTGCTCAATGATCAGTTCTCATCTCTTAAAGGTTAATGCACATTAGTTTCCTCAAAAAAGTTAACTACTTCACTTTCTACATATATATTCAAACTTTTATTACAAAAACAGAACAGCAACTTGCACTATAAAATCCATCATGTCACTGCAAAGACACTAGAAAAACGAATCTTTTGCTTAAGCAGAGTGTCCTAAATGGAGCACAATCCACCACGCCTCCCCCATCTTCATTTTTTGCCTTTTCAGAAGGTCAACATTTTGTTGAAAACAAATACTATTTGATGAAAATCTTATTCCCTAGCAAACTTTGGTCTATCAAATCCATAGAGTAAAGACTGTTATGTTAAACCAAGCTGTCAAGTGATTACTTTGATACCTAACAAGTTGTCAAGTGATTTAACCAACAACAGCAATCCACCCTAGATTCAGATTAGGGCTATTAGGCGCAAACTCTACAGCCATAACCTGGTCATGTATGCCCTCTTTTTTGAAGATTTCTGCTGAGTTTCAGTCCGAATGCTTACTATCATATGATGAATTACTCCTTTTTCCTAACAAAGATCATATACCAGGCAGAGGGCCATTTTCAACTTACTGCTAATGAACCAAAACTGATAACCAGTCGAGCTAGGTCATGCAGAGAGAACACTTTATTCTGCCAGATGCTGGCTTTCCTTGGACAACCAAAAAAACTGGCGAAAGAACAACATTATTAACATCATAATTTTTCACATGTGAAATGGAAATGAGATGACAAAATCAGCAGTTAAAGCTTGGTAAACAAATTTATTAAGCACCAAGAATTATATTACATCCAAAGGCCTAGTTCTTACAATGCAGAATAACCTGATGGCCATTAAAGGGCAACGATTGCATTAAACAGAGACCAATTCTTCCTTTAGAAATTCATGTACAAAAACATTGCCACATTAAGATAAACATCTGTTAGACAATTCCGTACCCATCTTAAACATGATCATAGAGTAACCTCAGCACGTTAAACATCTAATAGACTATCCAGTTCCTATCTTAGATAGGGAACATTGATGTCAAATAAACATTCATTTACCGAGATTAGCCTATCACCAAATTCATATAAGCCAATCTCAAAGCCTAAGGATAGAAGATGCTGCGCTTGCTACAGATAGCAACTTCTAAAGCAAATTATCAGGGAAAATAAGCAAAAGCAAATAACAATTGCAAGAGAAAGAGATTAATAAAATTGGTTAAGGATAAGGTAAATCCCCAACTACATTAGACATGTAGATCCAAGTTGAAATACAAGAGGAATGCAACTATTTAACCACATTGCTAGTACGAGGAGAGATGAGTTGAAGACTTAGTATTGCTAATAAGACTCAATTAATCATTTTAATAGCTTTTTGGAAGCTCAAAAACTGAATTAAGCATCGCTACCATCAGGATTTATCACCTTTAGCGGGGTCATCAGAAATCTTAAGACCAGAGTGAAGGGTACGCCGTCGAGTCCTGGAGGGAATAATGTTGCCCAAATCGACCTCCGCCAGTAGATCGTCGGAGAGGTCAGTATCACTGTCAACATCAGACGCGCTTCCAAAATCGTTCGAATCATCATCATCGTCGGAGTCCTCCTCGATCAACTTTCCCTTGCCCTTGTCATCCCTTAAAATCCCCTTACCTTTACGATCGATTTCGGCCTCTCCGTTGGACTGCTCATCGTCCTCCTCCGCGTCATCATCATCGTCTTCCTCATCCTCCTCGCCTTCATAGTCATCTTCATCTTCTTCTTCGTCCTCCTCTTCAACTTCCTCGAGTTTGTTTGAATCAGTACTTGCGAGTTTTTGCTTCTTGTTTACATCATCGTGTTCCTGGGATTTGGCAATAGATTCTTCTTCTGCAGCAGCAAGAATATCTTGGGGCTTTCTTTTCACTGGGAATGTGTGTTCTTCTTCGTCTTGTCCTGTTTCTGCCATTTTCCTTTTGGTTTGGTGTTTTCTGGGGTTTGGGAGGACACCCAAACTAGGGCTTTTGAGGAGAGTGTTCACTGCACCAGTACTCGAGCCTTTGAGGAGTACTTGATAGTGGATACTCGTGTCCGGTCAAAGAATTTTCTTTTTATAAAAGTAAATATTCAATTTAATTGAAAAGAGTATTGTTTAACTTTAACCTAAAATTGGGATAATAAGTTACAACAATGACAACAACAACAATCCAGTATAATTTCACTAGTAGGGTCTGATGTTACTTCTGATAGGCTCTCTCCCTCCAAGAACCTTGTCAATAAGTTAATGAATTGAATTTATAGAATTAGGCCACAAGCAATTGTTTCACTTCAATTTTTGACAATAAATAATAGATGAATGAATCAAACAATTGTAGACGAACAATGTAAAAGCAATAAAGAATGGATAAAAGAAGATAAGAAATTTTTTTCTTTTTTTCAAAAATTTTTTACTTTTTTTTCGAAATCAGTATTTGTTCATAAAATTTCTAATTTTCACTTGAAGATACATTTTAGAATTTTTCGAAATTTTGAAAAACTCCAAAAAACTGCTTTTCAAAATTTTCACTCAGATTACTCACAAAACTTCAAAAACAACCCAAAATTATATTTATGTCCAAATACAACTCTAATTTTTAAATATAATTTTCACTTAAAAAAAATTTCACTTTTTTTTTGGAATTTTACAATACTTATGTCCAAACGCCTATTTATTAATAATTTATTGAGGAATGCAAGCGATTGATCGAAATGTTTAGAACAAAATCAATAGTTAATTCAGTATAATAACAATAATAGTATAATGCAATCTGAAAATCAGAAATGAGATGAACAATCTAGGAGTTGCAGCAACTCGAAGAAGATGATAGCTAGGTCAGGGAATTAACCGAGATACTAACTGGAGAAGTGAATAGAGAGAAAGAAAGGCTGATCTTATTGATGAAACAAAAAATAAATCTTTCACAATGTGATTATAATGTATTTATAAGCGTGTAACTTAAAGCTCAACTAATCCTCTAACACTAACTAACTGAACTGACACCAGCAGTTGTAACTAACTTCTCTAACCAACTTTGCCACGTCGGATTCAAGCTCAATATTTTGCATTCTTGCATCAATACCCCCTGCTGAAGAACACCCTTGACCTCAAGGGTGAAATAAAGGAAACCTATGCTGTAATTCAGAAAGAATTTCCCAGGTTGCTTGAGAACTATCAATGCCAGTCTATTTCACAAGAACTTGACAAACAACCTTGTTACCCATCTTCACTAATCTCCTGTTGAGCACCATCTCAGGTACTGGACAATAAAGGCTCGATAGGTGAAATACATAAGGGTAGTTGATAGTATTTGGAATTGCCAAACACTTTTTCAGTAGTGAGACATGGAAGGTATGGTGAATTAGAACATCAGCAGGTAACAACAATTGATAAGCAACTGCACCAATCTTTGCATCAATAGGATATGGACCAAAATATTTGGCTGCTAGCTTGTTGAATGGTCGACTTGCCACAGAGATCTGTCTATAAGGTTGAAGCTTCAAGTATACCCAATTACCAACTGCAAAGCTTCTGTCTGATCTATGCTTGTTGGCTAAATCCCCCATCCTCTGCTGAGCTCGAGTAATAAGAAATTTCAAGAGTTGAATGACAGCTTCTCGAGCAGATAAGGACCTGTCCACCATTTCATTAGCAGCCTCACCACCTAAATAAGGAAGATGAAGAGGTGGTTGACCATATAAAACTTCATATGTGATAGATGGTGTTATACCACCACTCTGCAAGGGGTAAATAGGATGACCACTCCTTAGGGCTATCATAACAAAAGCACCTTAGATAAGTTTCTAAGGTTCTGTTTAAAACCTCTGTCTGTCCATCTGTTTGTGGATGGTAGGATGTGGATCTTTGTAGCTGGACTCCTTGTAACGTGAATAATTCCTGCCAGAAGTTGTTGAGGAATACAGGATCTCTGTCACTAGTCATAGTAGCAGGCATACCATGCAACTTAAAGACACTGTCAAGGAACACTAGGCCACTGAATGAGCAGTATAGGGATGGGACAAGCTCATAAAATGACCATATTTACTCAACTTATCGACCACTACCAAAATTACCTCCTTACCATTGGATTTAGGTAATCATTCAATGAAATCAAGGCAAATATCAGTCCAGACTCCATCCGGAATTGGTAATGGTTGCAATAAATCAGGATATGCAGCAACATCATATTTGTGTCTTTGACAAATATCACATTTACTAATGAACTCCCTTGTGTCCTTACTAAGAGATTTCCAGTAAAATAATGACTGTAGCTTCTTGATAGTGGCATCCATACCTGAATGGCCCCATTGAGTAGTATCATGCCATAAAGTAATAATAGAATTCTTTAATTGTGGGTCATCTCTGATCACAAGCCTGTCTGTCACGACCCAAATTTTTCCTCCGTATAACGCTGTGACGCCACCTAATCTCTACCACTAGATAAGCCTAACATTCGCGGAATAATAAAATGAAAACAAAATTTTAACACCTAACTATTCAAAAATACACATCAAATTCCAAAATTTAGAACATCGTGAATCACAAACTACAGAAGGAAAAATCTAGTGTCTCTATACATCAGAGTCTAACAAGGAAAAATACAGAAGATAATGAACATAAGAAAGAGTAGAAGGGGACTCTGAGGTCTGCGGACGCGGCAGATATACCTTAAAGTCTCCAAAATTGTCCCGGCTCACTGATAGTGCGGCTGATAAGGTACACTTGGATCTGCACACGAAAAAATATGTGCAGAGAGTAGCATGAGTATACCACAATCGGTACCCAGTAAGTGCCAAGCCTAACCTCAGTCGAGTAGTGACGAGTTCAGGTCAGGGCCCTACTGGTAATTATATAAATAAACAATATAGAGTGTAATACCGCAATAAAATAAAAGCTGAAATTTAACAACAATGGAATCATAGAAGGTAACAGCACAGTACACAGAAACACAACAGGGAATCTCCCGAGATACCGTCTCGTAGTCCCAAACGTAAATGAGCAGAGGGATCTCCCGGAATACTATTCCGTAGTTCCAAAGTAAATGTGCAGGGGAATCTCCCGAGATACCGTCTCGTAGTCCCAAACGTAAATGAGCAAGGGGATTTTCCGGAATACCGTGCCGTAGTCCCAAAGTAAATGTGCAGGGGAATCTCCCGGAATACCGT